TACATATTTTATTAATGATGTAACAACTACAGTTTTTTATAGAGTAATAAAATATCAAACATGTGCTTGTAGAGGATATATCAAATGACTTTGTAAATAAGGTACAACATCTCTCTCTCTAGCTGAAATAAATATTTTTGTTGACTAGATTGGCTTTGACGGAGACTCTTAAAATATTTTTGCTACAATTAAGTGGTTTTATTTCTCTGTGAAGAGGAAACATTTATCCATTAGTAAAAAACTAATTTATCAACTACCCTCTTGTAAATTATTCTTATTTGACATATTCTTATGCATAAACGATGGAATTTGTTTATCATAATACAACTTTTTCGAGCTTCTTAATCAGCTTCTTTCACAGTTCATTTAATCAAAGTGATACTATATATTTCTAAATGTGATAGAATTTTCGACAAATGAATTAAATCTTAAACATGAGATTAATAATTAATATCAACTATCGATGTGTGATGGAATTTGTGCAATTGTTTTCAATTGATATAAAGAATATAAAAAAAGAAAATTTAGATCGTACCATAGTCAAGTTATGCAGAGATCGTAGTTCAGTGGTTTTGTATATCATGCCCATATTTAGATTTAATGATAAATGACTCGAAGAACTTTTGAATATTTTGCTGAAGGGAGTTACACAATAGTTTGTAATAATGTACTGAAAGTCTGTACGGTTTGTAATGTTTTCATTTGCCTTATTTGATAAAATGAAGAGATCTATGGATTTTCTCTTACATAGGCAGCATGCTATAACAGCAGAGAAATAAAAATTATTAACAAAGTGAGCGAGTGTTATTTTTCTCGACTCTAAGAAACTAATGTATAACACAAATAATAGATCTTTGAAAAATCAAAATTGATCTAGCTGGGTCGACTATGATATCTTGATCCCTAATCATCAAAGAATGTTTTGTGCTCTGTTAAAAAATCATCATGTTTTTGATGTTAATTGCTTTTGATAATTATTCCCAAAGTTATATGACAATTTAATCTTCAATCATTTTCTATCCAGAAGGGCCCCATCTTCAAAGAGTAAACAATCCAATATAAATTTAGTTTTATACTTAGATTTTAATCATATTATTAATAATCTTTGCATGGATATATTCATCAACACCTTGCTCAATATTTTGATCACTTAATTATTCTTGTTTTGAATAAAATACTGATATATCTCAATTCAATTATGATTTTAAACAGAAAAATCACTTTTGTACCATCTCGATAGAATTTTTATTGAAAACTATTTAGAAATTCAATCGAATAAGTTTGATTCTTTAGATATGTTATTTTCTAATACTAGTTCTCATGTTCAAATTGATATTTTTATTTGCTTTATTTCATAAGCATTCATCAACTTCTACATTATTTCAACAAAAACGTCAAAATAAACATTTATGGATATATTCCCTCGACTGAAAGGAGGGTCATACGGAATAATATGCGTTTGTTTCTTTGTGTGTTTGCTTGAGGTCAAAAAAACATATAAGAGAGGTCAGTCTATTTGAAGACTTTTTGCTGTTTTGACGAAACTTTGCTACAGATTATCGAGGACCCTGAATGCGAATCCGAAGCCCATTCCTTTGGCCAAAGTTTCATTGGTCGGGAGGCGGCCAATCACACATGAAGTTTCTTATTTTAAGACTTTTCGTCGCTTTGATCGTACTTTGCTATAGGTTATCGAAGTCCCTGAATCCGAATCTGGAACCCATTTCTTTGGCCGAAGTTTCATTGGTCGGGAGCCGGCCAATTAGAAACGAACCTTCTTATTACTTAAGTCAGAGCTAAATGTTAGTCATTTAGTAGTGGGTAATGAAGAAGAGCAGCAGCTATCCATGAGTGGCATCCCAAGGGGCGCCGACGAACGACAGCTGCTGCGAAAGCAGGTTTATAGGATTCGTGTTTCAGGAAATATTATGATAGTGCCTGGCAAATGGCTCGAAAATGCGCCACTAAGACTGATTCACTGATAGGTTATGGTTGAGAAGGGTTTCTACCATAGATGGAACCGGTACCGGTGTGTTGCCGGACTATTGTGGGTCTTGCTTTTACATTTTCCTGTTGTCATCATAAACACTAATGCAAGGTGTTTTCGATTGAACGATATAGTGCTTTTCGGGCAGTAATTCATTTTGACAATTGATGCATTGTCGGTAGACTGATTTTATAATAGTAGACCGGTCAAACAGGTAGAATTGTCGGATCGGTTCGACCTGTTCAGACCAGTACCAGTACTGCTAGTCGAATAACTAGACCGGTTCAATCTATCATTTCTACAAACGTATTGTGGATCATACAGATTTGCTTAGGGCATTAGTAATAGAGTAGCAGTTCAGTTGAATGAGTTGTATGGCAAGCAGCATCCAGTGATAAGCATTGCTCGCCGCACTAAGTAACATATTTTTAGATTAATGTTCGCTCTCACACACAACCAGATCCATACGTCTGTTGCTAGCTTATAAGTTGTGTTTGTAAGAGTAAAAATTTCGAAGCACTCAAATATTCAGTCGAGGGTCAAGCGAATCACACAGATGAGCGTTACTTGTCTTATGATAGTAAGAAGTTGCTTAATACAAGTAAAAATTTGTTTTTATTTATATTTATGAAAATAATTTCATTTGAATTAGATTGAACTTGATCAAGACAATTCTTCTAATATTGAAGATCAATTTAATTTTTCTTTCAATTTTGTTCTGATTGTATTTTTTCTCAATAAACAATCTATATTCATACAGTACGAGATCGTTTTCCATCAATATATTTAGCAATTCAAATATTGATACCCTTCATTTTCATGGATTAATTATTCGTCGAGATACATCTTGTGTAAAATAAATATTTAAAGGTCTTATTAGATCTTAGAGTATGTGTTGGTGTGGGCACGGCTGTTGCCGTAGGGTGTGAATGTGAGTGTATTGAAGATAGTACTCACATACACACCCCATACCCCATGCCCACCCACACTCACCTCCATACCCATGCTCTACTGTTCAGGTGGCATGAAATATCAAGCCATTACATTATGTTTTAAGGATTATTCAGATCTTTTTGATTGACTATATAATCAATTAAAAAGCGATATGAAGATAGAGAACATTTTCTCACGTAAAAGCAATTCAATAAGGGAAGACAACTATATTGTGAAGAAGTTTTTTATAATTCAGTTGTGCAAAAAAAAGGAAAAAAATAAAAAAGAGTGCAAATCGAGAACTCATTAAGATTCTTCATGCAACTTGTCGAGCAGGTACATCCGACCAGTTTGTATTGAATGGCAGCTTATCATCCTTCATAACCAGTGTCCATGGTAAAATACGATTTCGCCCTTGTAGGATGGCACCAGAGAGTACTACCGATCTACTCATGAGCACACTCGAATGGTTTATATTAACAGGTGCCAGTTTGAGCAGGCGATGTTCAAAAGTATGACACTATTAATAAGACATGAGCAATAACGAGTCTAAATATAGTAAAGTCAAGGAGAGTAGTTACCTGAACAGAGGCTCCAATGCTCAAGCGAACATGATCACCTATAGTCACAAGATGAGGATCAAGGAGACATTTCATATCAGCTAGAATAACGTCATTACCAATACGAGTACCAAGAGTACGGAAAAGACAATTAAGAAATTGTGTTCCAGACAGAAATGAGCCGATGTAAACGTAAAACTCACTTATGAATAAATCAAAGAATTGTTCCGTACGAATAACAGATTCCATATAAGTGAAACGTGCACGGTTTCGTTGATGTAAGATCAAAATTTGGTAGAGAGCACAGAAGAAAACAATGTGGACAATTAATGCAACAGCAAACGGTAGCAACGTGTATGGTGTGATAAGAGTAAATTTAAAGATAACAAATATAAAGCACTGGAAGAGAAAAGTGTAAATAGATGGAGGTCCTAGTGATGATAGATCATTCGTGAGAGACGTGTGATCGATCATGACAAAAGGCATTCTACGGGCTGGAATACCAAGCAATACTACACCAGCATCAGAACTGTGCATCTGTTCTCTGACAAGAGTGTTGACACCGACGATTGTGTTATTTGCAAGTCGTGCACCTGGCATAATTAGACACCAGTTACCAAGGTTTGTGCCTGAACCCAGATGGATCTCATCCAAGTGGCAGACACCATCAGGTGTCATTTCAAACGAAGCAAGCATAATTTCTCCAAAAACTGTGACGCCACTCTCAATCTTGAGAAGGTTCATTGGAAAATATAGTACTTGTGAAAATTGAGCCAACTTTACATCCTCTTCGACATGTGCACCCAGCCAGCGGAGAAGTATAGGCGTCACTGAGTCATACGAATGAAGACATTCGAACGAGCGATTGAATGATGATATAATCAATTGACGCAGCCATAGCTTATGCAGGTAGTAGTAAGAATTAACTGGGTAGTCACCTACCTTGGCATGGCCCACGACAAATTTCAACAAAAGTAAGGCAACGACCAGACTTGCTAATGTCCAATACAACCAGCCTATCGCAAGACCGACCGGTAGCGGTAGCCACAAAGTTAAGCAGCGTTGATATACAAAATAGGTTAAAGCAAGAAGCGTACCGTGAATGAAAGCGAGACAAAGTAGACAGACAAGTTGATATAAAGTTTGACCTAAGGATAAAAATCGACTTTTGATATTGTTGTCATGAGCTGACGATGAGACCTGACCAGTGGTTGCAGACATAGGTTTTATGTGCATGTTATCATGAATAATTACACCCTCATATAACACACAGCGCCTGCCTATCGAGCAGTGAGAACCGATTGTAATTGAATGAAGTTCGTATGTATGGTCACGATATGACAAGCTGTTAAGAATAGTTTCTTCTCCGATGAAAGTAGACTCACCAACAACAAGTAGCCAAGGAGCATCAATTAATGTTGTGTAAATGTGCGCATGACGGCCAATCTGTGCACCACATAGTTCAAGGTAGAAATTATAAAACGGAGTACCCAATAAATGCTGCAGCCAATAAGAGTTGTTTATTGACCATAAACTATGTAGAAACCACCATCGATAGTAACACCACGAAAATAGATTGTCACATTTGTACTTGATTTCTCTTTGACAGAAAAGTAGACGCTGCCATAGGATATACGATAAAAGGTGTAATATGGGCACAAAAAACAGAGCGAAAAATGACTGAGATCGATAGGCTAGCCACATAGGAAATAACCATTGAACGGCAAGCAACATGATACCTACTGCTTCAATCAACAAGGATGGTGTTGGGTGATTAGTATCTTCTTGTCCCTTTGCCGTTATGGATGTGGCAAGCAGTTTCTCTTGCACGACTACCAATGGTTCAAGAGCCAGAGCAAGTTGTCGCACAGATGGATTCGCGAAAAGAAGGGTGGCATCAACTTTTGTACAGATTTTTTCTCGAATCATTGACAGTGCTCGAATAGCATCTAATGATGTACCACCCATTTGTCCGAAAGGCACGTTCACATCGGGTATTTCATTGTGAAAAGCTTCAGCAAAGATGCCACGGAGTCGTTCTTCAAGTGGTGTTACAACCGAAAAATTGACAGGATCCGCATTACTCACTGGAGAAAAGTCGGGAGCAGGAAGACGCTTTCGATCAACTTTTCCATTCGCATTCAGTGGTAAATGATCAAGCATGACGAACATCGATGGAACCATAAATGGTGGTAGAGAAGAACGGCAATGTGAGCGCAAATCATTTTCATTTACACCAGAGCCTTGTACATAAGCTACTAAATGGTCTTCTCTGTATTTAGCGACTACACAAGCAGCAATGTGAGTCCTAAGTAAACATTGCTCTATTTCACCCACTTCGATTTGTTGTCCATGAAGCTTCACTTGATGATCTTTGCGACCGATGTAATAGATCAAACCATTTCTGTCCATTCTCACTAGATCACCTGTCTTATAGTATATTTTATCTTCAATTTCCACTAATACTTTTGATGTCAAGTCGTCGCGACCGAAATAACCAGCAAATACGCCGACACCTCCGATGAGAAGTTCACCTTGCTGACCGACAGCAACGGGTTGTCCGAACTCGTCATGAATAATACATCGATAGTTTGGGAGCGGTCGACCGATGAGAACCGTATCCAGATAATTTATTGAATCTACTCGATAGCAAGTCGAAGAAATTGTCATCTCCGCTGGACCATAATCATTCCAAATAAGACAATCGGTAGTGACAATACTTTTTATTCGTTCAATTAACTTTGAAGAAACAGTTTCTCCTAGGTAATGAAACATACAAACTAATTAATTATATTGTATGTGATACTTTCAGAACACTAACCTCCGATGCTAATCGATCGAATTGATTGTAGTCGAGCAACCTGTGGTTTATCCAAGAAATCGCAGAGGGCGTTAAGCCATGCTGGTACGGCAAACATGTAACTAATTTGTTTATCGGTCAGAATTTTCATGATATACATTAGATCCATATTTCCATTTGGACGAAGCATGACGGTTGTGGCGCCAAGTATTAGAGCCCCAAAGATTTCTGGCATGTGGCTATCAAAAGAACACTGAGAAAGTTGCAAAATCATATCCTTGTCCTGTAGGACGTTAATATATTGCAGAGATTCTATGCAAGCAGTTAAATTTCTATGCCGCAATTGAGCCTGAAATAAAAAAATTATTCGGTTCATATGAAATGCATAAACCTTTAGTAACTGACTGCTTTCGGTATTCCTGTTGAACCGCTTGTAAAAATGATGGCCGCAATACACTCCGACGTCACCGTGACACGAGACAATCGATCAAAATCATTATCTATTACTATACTATGCTTGTTCGTGTTTGCATCGATGTCTACTGTGACAATGTTCTTGTTGAATCGATCTCGTGTCGTGGAATGAACCAGTACAAGACGAGTTTGAGTTTGTTTCAGCAATACCAGAAGACGTTGATCAGGATCTCGAGTTGATAATGGACAATAGACTGCACCAGCCATCTCAATTGCCATGATACCAATGACCTAAAGAACAGCAATACTTAATCTGTCTGTGTGTGCCTGCTGATGCTGCTCCTCATAATATAATCTGAATGTAAGGGCGTTGGCAAATAAAAGATATTTTAAATGTGTTACAGCTATTGCGTGTGAAAGAGTGAAATGTTCCATAGAGTGCAAAGGAATAATCAAACGAACATTTCCACATTGAGAGGTGTGACAATAAGTTTTGCAAGCGAACAGTTCTATACTAGATGGAAGGAAATTATTCATCAGTGTTATGACGATCTTCCTATATCTTCTCGTGCAGAACAGCTTTATAGAGTTAGGAGAGCTTTCGAAGTGGTGTCGGCAGGCTTTCATTCGCATCATCGTTTGATTTGGAAATAATCTTTATTTTACATTATCTTAATTATTATCAATGTGTGTTTCACCCAACATACTGGTATCAAATAGACATATTGTAGTCATCAACTCCATGTGTCTCTGTGGAGTCTATAAAGGCAGTCTCTTTTGAATTTTACTCGGCAGCCTTTTTGCCAAACAAGAAGATCATGACGCTTCAAACTTTGAAAAATCATTGATAATAGAAAGTGATACAGAGATGTTTTCATAAGTCAACAACTGCTGAGTCCACTATCAAGTCTGATATCACCCTCCTATGATACATCGGAATTTTATGAAAATTCGGATTTCATATTTGGGATCAAAAAAAAATTTACCCAAAATATCTGATAAAAGCGTTACTCTAATTCTTTATGGAGTAGTTTTAGTGAATACATAGAATCGCTAAGCCATATCATACATCCCAGCTTTTTCTGTTGTTGTAAAATCCTAAATCACAGTGCTTCTTTGTCAATATTAATAAACCGTGTAGTAAAGTTCATCAAGGCTTGCTATATGTATGACTGAAATTAGAGCTTTATGTTAGCTTTTTCACTGAGAGTGTCCTCTCTTGTCTAGAAAGTTTGATCAACTGAAGATTGTGAAAGATGTCTAGTAGCTGTATTTGATAAATTAAGAGTCACCCACTCTGACAACTTGACCATCGTGATGATTTCAACCCTGCTTATTACTGAGGCTGTCAAACACTTCGAAAGCATGCGAAAAATACAAAAATAGTTCTAGAAACTTCCCGCAAAACGAACATTGATCATTAGAGGTTCCTATTGATTCAAAAATGCTTGGTTTCTAATTTTTGTTTTCAATAAATACGTTTTACATGAGTCACAGTAATAATACATAAAGTTTCACAGCGGATGAATTTAAAAAGCGTCTCATTTCTGTAAAATATAGTTCGTACAGAGTCAGCAAATTGATAGCTCAAATCTGTGGACAGCTTGTGCGAGAGAAGAAACTTCGATAATCGCTATCTAGAAATACATTAGCCATCATAACTGATGGTTAGGAAGGTTCATAGAATCGTTGTTACACTAGTTTTAACTGCTATAAGAAGTAAAACCAAAGCTATCTTTGTGGCCAAATTCTGAGAATGGACTGAATTTATTTTAGACCGTAATATGAGTCAGATTTTATCCAAATTATTGGGCTCATTTATCTACTTAGACGAGAGCGTTGGATAAGATTAGTCATCTGCTAACTGAGTTTCAACCATGTAACTTGCAGTTCTCAATGAACTCTACAAAACTGGGCGTTGAGATTAACGAAGTAGTAGGATATATAAATGTAATATGATTTTACTGAAAACTCACACTAAAACAGAGATTATCGTTATAGTGTATAAACAAGTTCAAAGCTACAATTACGAGGAGATCCCTTGCTCTATTTTTTTCGAACACACGCTGTTCGATTCTTTGCATTACTTGACCACATAAGTTGCAAGATATCTAATAGGCTGAAACCAATTAAAATGTTCTTCATAGGCACTTCTCATTGATGCATGTATTTCAGTTGATCTAAATTTCTGTTTGTATTCTAGACTGAAAAATCTATCTAATTTGTTTCGGAAGGTGCCAAGTTTAGTATGTCAAAAACACAGGATAATGCAACAACTCTACACTTTTCGATGATTCCAATATGATTTTAAAAGTCTCACCATTGATAAGCTTCGTTCTACACATTGGCAAATGATATCGCCCACTTTGACATCATTGTCATTTATTAGATGAAGAGCGACGATTTGTGCATTGTGTAGAACTTCACTGTACGTCAAACACTGACCATCGAGCTCGACCGCAATCTTTTGTGCATGATACACCGTCTGCTTATAGAATAGCTGGTTGATAGTATAAGTTGGACTTGGGATTTCATGATTGTCGATACTGTTCAATTGACGAATGATGGTTAAATCACTTGGCAAAAGAATAGATAACTTCCACAATGGTTGCATTGCAGTTGAGTATGATTCGGCTTTAAATATTTCACCAACGAAGATAGCAAACCGATCTGCTATCATCTGTACACTCGTCTGATTGAATTTGTCTTGCGAACAGACTAGAGTACACGAGATTTTGTCATGTTCTGATAAGGAGTTGTAGAAGCAAGTCAGCATTAAGTCAAATTTAGCTACTTGTGATGCTTCTAATGGGATCGTCTCTAGGTCTGTCCCGTCAAAAACTAGGTGACTGATGTTTAAAGAGTCAGTGATAAAATCAAAATTGATTTCGAGAAAATTGACCAGTGATTGTTCTTGTTGAATATCAGCTAAAATTTGTTGTAGAGGATATTGAGAATGTTCAAGAATACAGGAGCATTTGTTTCGAACTTGTTCGACAAGCTGATCAAAGGAACCATTAGGATTGATTTGAATACGATAAGGAATGGTAGCCACAAACATACCAATCATGTCTCTTATTTCTGCCCTATATCGATTCTCGTTTACACAAGCAATGCACAAATCAGTTTCGTGATTGCACAATTTGAACAGAAACGCATAGAAAGTGGTGAGACCAAGTTGAAATGGTGTTACATTGTGAGAAGCAGCATACGATAGAAAGGAGGCAGAGACAACATCATTAAGGGAAAATGAGACAATATGTGCCAATCCTGTTCGCTCAGCAGTAAGTGACCGATGTTTATCTACTGGTAATGCCAAGTGATATTGGCAATGATATCCATCCATCTGTGATCGCCAAAAGCTATGCGACGATGTCATATTCATTTGGCGTTCATGAGTAGAATAATCAATATACTGTAGCGAATTGTTATCGATCGGCAAGTACTGGTCGGTATTATAAGCACTACAGAGATCATCGTAGAAGATCGGAGCAGAAGCACGATCAGATGCGATATGATGCCAGGCAATCACTATTATGTCAGAAGCAGCTATCAAATCATTATCTTTTCTTATATTCATCGATCTGTGCCGAAAAATCTGACAGTTAACTACCCGGCCCATTGTTAAATCAAATAGTGACTTATCAAAGGCCATTTCACGAAGAATAGAATCCAGTTCGTTGTCGTTTGTAAATGCGTGCTGCGCTACACAAGTGAATGTCTCGTAGGAGTTTTCGATACGCTGTTTCAGCATGCCGTCGTGTTTGTCTAGAAAAATGGAAGTACGTAATACTCGGTGCTTTTTCAGAACCGATCTAATGGCTCGTTGAAGTCGCTCTATTGAAAGTGCACCATTTTGAATTCTAAAGGCGGATAACTCGTTGTAGACCGCAACATTGTCGGAAAAGCGGATTTGTTCATCCAGAAAGATACGCTCTTGAGCGAACGATGCAGCACCTGAAAATTGTACAATGATAAATTATTCCATTAAAGATT